TTAGATCGAAAAAGCAATTGCGTCCAAACACACTGTTGCATGAAGGAGGCAGCTGCACAATGAATGAAATAAATTGGGTCAAGTCTTAAGAAGAGCGAAAAGCATTGATCAGAACGCTGAGTTCAATGTTAACTGCAATCTGCAATAACATTTGTCACAAATAAATTTAGAGCAGAGTCAAGAAAGGAATACCAAAATGTAGAGTACTTTGCAGATGTCATGAAAAATGAGGGATGAATGAGAGAGGAAGAACATATTCACACTAACTAAGGGGCATTTCTGGAAAAGTTGCTTTCAGGAATGTATCCGTAACCTTTTATTTGTTTTTGTTTTATCGTGATTTGTTAGGAGAAGTTTTTTTGCACACTTACAGGCCGAATTGCTAAAAGCCAAATTCATCTTGTTCTCATCAGCTCAGCATCTGACTTTGCAGAAATGAATCAGAATTACGGGTTAAGTGAAAAAGTTGAGACAGTTAGTGGCGATGACAAAATCTCTGTTGATATTCCGCATCGCAGACTTTGGGAAGAATTTCACTGTAATAATAATGAAATGATTCTAACGAATAAAGGAAGGTAAGCTGAATTTTTATACCGGATGTTTTCAAAATATTTGGGTTCCAAATTTTGGCACTTTGTAGGAATTGTACTTCCCCAAATATTAGTCTAATGCAATTGCGACTTACACGTGGGACCTGATATTTCAACTCGATTTTTATTCGTTTTTGCATTGCTAATGAAATGTGAGACTCGCACTGATGGGCAAATACTTATGCATGTGTCCATTTGACTTTGTCACCCAATTTCAAGTAAGCGACCAAAAAAGCTAGGAAGCTAAAATTTTATAAGGATGTTTTCAGTCCGTGTGCGATCTCATGAGCGCAAAATCAGCTCTTACATGCGCTTATTCTCATATACTGAAGCTACGGGAACAATTTAAGAGGTTAATCAATTTAGAAATCTCAAGGCTCCGAAAGAGTGAATATCCATGGGCTATTCAAAGATTTCAGTTTAATTTACTGTGCTTTCCTGTATCGTGCTCACAAAGCATCAAAAACCCTTTTTGTTAAGAAACGATTTAGCACTAGTTAAGCCAAGAAGCTGAAACTGCATGAGTTTGTTCTTCGCTAATCAAATTCAGCTTTAAAATACGCCCACATATTGCTCCTTACGCATGCGTGTGTGAAATTTGAAATGAGGCGCTGGTGGCATTATTTCGATTCAATAACTGACTAGTACACCGAGCGCCGGTGGGAAGATGCGTTCTTTGCAGAGTTCTCCGCAGATTTTCAGCCAAATGCTTCTTGCTAAAAGAATTGAGATTGGCCACTACGAACGTCAGAAAATATCCTCTTGAAATTCCAACTTTCTGGCTCCTCTGGTTCTCGGCTTAGCAACTTACTCGCCAAAAAACTTCCCGGACCCGAGCACGAAAGCCACGTGAGCTTGGGGAAGGGAGCCCGTGCACGCATGTAGATCGAGTTGCCAATGTTTCAGCCTTGTGGCTCCTGTTGGTCTCGAGATGAAAACTCGGTACAGACGCAAAAAAACACTCACCAACCTTGGCAAAATCTGCATTTTTGCACTGTGCAGATGTAAAAAACACATAAAAACTGGATTTGTATGAGAATCTTTGCTATGTATCCATGAGCCCATAAGTAGAAGTGAACTTTTGCGGCACTTGCGTCTAATATTCAAATATATCCAACGTTCAACCAGAAGGGCATCTTTCTGTCTCATAACCAGGCATTCGAGAAAATAGAAATTTTGCTTGCGCGCTGACTGCCTATGAGCGCTTCCAAAAATGCAAAATCAGCTCTCACGCACGCATTGGTCCTGCGAACAGACACTGCAAATCCGTCTAAAATTTCATCTTTCTGGTTTAAAATTCGGCTTTTACTTACATTTATCCTCCTCATACCGGTGCATAAAATTCAGTGAAAAATCTCACAGATTAGGATCCAGTTGACATATCGACTATTTTTGTCAGTCAAGCAGTCAAACATCAACTGGGCGGAACTGCACAAAGCAGATGGTGGCATCGGCTCCTCTAGTGAGCACCGCTATTTATTCAGTTAGGCGTCACATTTGGCCAATTAAAAAATTTACCAAATTATATGTTTAATCATACGACTCACTTTCAACAATCTTTTGCACGAAATCAATGAAAGCGTGCATTTTTTGCCGAAATTTCTCAAAAGAGCGAGAAAAAGTTTCGAAAAAAATAATTCACAGTTCTAGTTGGACTGTGAAATGAAAGCAATGACAGCTAAGAGGCTGCCACTTTACGCTCAGATCGTTTTCAGATGCGTCTATCCACGAATTGCATATAATGTGAAGGGACTCGACTTGAAATCAGTTTATGCAGTGTGTTTGAAAATATGTAGAGCAGATTGCACAAGGTTTATAATTTACATGTAAACAGGTGAAAAGTCCTACAAAATATTTAAAAACACGTTTTAAACGGTGTTTTTTTCTTATGGACTTAATATGTTGCCAAATAGAGCTACACTCAAGTTCGAACTAGCAATTTGATTCCAACAGCGAAAAGTTAATCGATCTAAAATAGCACAGGTGCGGGTTAGGATGTGAAAACCACCATCACCTTGCAACCCTCAAAAACAGGAAGATTTTTAGGTAGCATTTGCCGGCTGAGCTACCAAGCCTTCGGGAAACTGATTCGCAGGAAAAGAAGGGTTTTTGTCTTTAGTTTTTCATCCTTATGGAGCCAAGCAAGCAGGATTTTCAGAACCGAGCATACAGCGTACATTCAGTAAAAAAGGCTAGCGAAAATATTTTTAGATCTTTCGTATAGTTGGTAATCATAAATAAAAATCCCAAATGTTACCGATTTTCGAAAGAACAAAATAATTTAACGCGCACAGCTTGAAAAATGAGCATTTAATCTTCCGCTCGTCTTCGT